AGTGAAATACACAAACGAGGAATGGAGAGTATGTAGATCTCTAAGGGGTGACGTGAGAGACGTTTAAAAAAAATGTGATGCGGAATAAATGAAATAAAATAAAATAAACGATGGCTAAAAAATATAGTCACAATACTGGGAATAAAAGAAATGCAAGTGTTAATGATACATAAATGATACTGATAAGAAATAGAATAAAGTACTAATATGAAATAAAATAAAATAATTAACATTTAAAATGTGATAAGATTAGATCTATTTAAATGAAGGTATGTTGGATATTGATACCACTTGGACTAAAAACGCCAAGGCTGTGAATAAGGCGATTTTCCAAAGCGAGGCGGATAGTATGATCACCAGAGCAAGATTTTAATGTTGTGACAGATATGTCATCTTTACCGCTGTGGTCAGGGCTATTAAAATGAAGAGGGATTGGTTTGAGTATCTTCTTGTCGTGTAGCAGGGTCAGTACCCCTACCCCCTTTTTATTAGTGTTGTGCTGTTTGCACTTGAGGACCGAAAATAGATAGGATATAGACCTAGTTCTATCTGTGATAGATTTTATTACTTTTACCAATGGCCACGTCATCCAAAAAAATGGAAAGCATCTTGTGACAGCAATCGCAAGTATAACAGTAATTGGAAGAAAACATACTCATGGCTCAAAAGATCTTCAGACGGATCAGAGGCAGCATATTGTAAACTGTGTCAGTGCATTGTTGCACCAAGAATTACTAGCATTTCAAATCATGAAAAATCCGAAAAACACAGGATGAAAACCGTCAAAAAGCCAGTCACAGCTTATTACAACAATGACTCCTAGGCAAAGTAATGATAAAGTTAAATCAGCAGAGTTGCAACTTGCTGAAAGCATGACCTGCCATTGTGCAATACGCATCAAAAGTACTTGTGCATTATAGGTAGTTTTTTCAGTGACAGGAAAAATGAAATATTTACTGGATTTCTTGCTTTAATTTTCTTGCAAGAGGCTATAGGAGAAAACTTATTTAATTTGATTGATAAGAAAATCAAAAGGCGTGGTCAGTCTTACAAATTGCATTGAGTTAGCGTCAGATGGCGCTTCAAACATGGTCAGGTGCAAGAACTCTGTATGGTCCAGAATTAAAGATGTGTCTCCTTTTTGTGTACAGCTCAGATGTATCTGTCATTCACTAGCACGCTGCATTTGTAGTGCAATTGCCATGCTGCCATCAAATATTGGTTTCTTACAATCAGAAATACCTCAGTGGTTTTGTCATAGTGATTTAAGATGAGAAGCCGATAAAGAACTGTTTAGAGTGATAAACACATCTACGGAGTTTGAATCAGAACGAACTGCTCCTCTTCCATTTGAGAAACTGTCATCTACTAGGTGGCTTGTGCATGATAAGATAATGTTCAATATGTTGGTGAACTGGGAAGAATTGAAAGCTTATTTCACATGTGCTGAATTAGCACAGACAAAGTTTGACACAAAATATAAAGTAAGATTGTTAAAGGAAATGTTGTTAGACACAATAATTATTTGTACTTTGTGTTTGCGACACCAATTGTACAAGCATTTGAAAGACTGAACAGTCTTTTTCAACAAACAAAAGCTGATCCTCATGAACTACACCAAGAATTGTCCATGCACCAGAAAAGTCTTAAATTAAGAACAGACTGTATGAAGTCAATAAGCAGGAAAAAATATTCATCACGTTGACTTTGGTATTAAATTCCTAACGGAATGTAATGCATTCCTACAGAAGAATAACGGGACTGAAGCTGAGATGGAAATAAACTTTGTTAAAGAAAGAATCATGTCTGTGCTAAAGGAAGTTCTCAAACAAATTACGTGTAGACTTTCCACCGAGAATATATTTCAAAATCTGTCAAAATTAAGCCCTTTGGCAGTTTTAAATCAAATATCAAGGACACAGTTTTCAGAGCTAGGATGGACTACCTAAAAACATAGCGTACTTCGACACTAGGCATTTAATTAAAAAGTTGGCCACTTTCCCCCTTACTTGCCTAATAATGCCCGTTTGCAATGCTGTAGTTGAGACTAAATCAAAAGCAAGAAACAAAATACAACTGGATTTTCTTGTTGCACTTGTCAGAATTAGAGCAGAACTATTGATATCAAAGAAATGTTGCAAGGACTTCATTCCATCTGAGAAAATGCTTAAAGATTTTACATCCGAAAAGGTTTATGCTGCGTCTTCCACTTGTCCAATGAGGATGGCAGTGAAAAATTCAATCTAGAGCTTTTGACATGAAGTGAGTACAATGTTACACTTAATTTGGCAATTTTCTGGCATATTTTGGGTGATGGTTTAGCATAAAATGACGTTTTTTATCTGGCAACCCTGAGTGCTGTGTGGATCGGTGGGAGTCGGCTTACACAGGGGCGCGGAAAATAAACCAAACATGTACAGTGACAAACAAAAACGTGTGTCAGGCGCAGTCGATGTGAAAATCCAAAATATCACCATAGTAACTTGGCAGTAGTAAATTCTACCCCACCAGGACATAACACAAGCGATAAACATCCTATGACACAAAGTGTCACCCTGCGGATGAGGATCACCCGTGAAAAGGTCACAAAAACCGCGTTCAGCCATTAGGCTATATTTATGGCCGGGCTATATTCGGGCAGCAAGGAAGAGCCAGGGTGGGGCTTCAAAATAACGAAAAATTGCAATCCACGAAGGGATGAGCTGATTAAGAGAGAAAGTGAGAGAGAGAGAGGGAGGGAGAGAGAGATTTTCCGGAAAAGATTTTTAGAAAAAAGAAACATTTTCTTGACTTCTAGTTCTAGTATTGTTACACTTCCTTTTCCGGTCAGAAAATGGCGACCCCCATGCAAGACAATGTTAGAGTTGTGAATATATCAGAAATAAAGGTATTAACACTAACATTTATCAGTCTAAACAGTACCCGTCGCTTTCAGACCGTAATGGTTTTATCTTGTCTGATACATTATACATCGATTTCCTCATCCTTTCAGTTTTCACATGGCTTCTCTGTAATCTGTCGTTTTTTTTTTTTTTAACAGTAACTCAAACTCTGTAACTTAATCACTTTTCTGAGAACTGTCGTTCTCACTCTAAATACTTTAGTCAAATTTTTAAAATACCCTGTACACCAATAAAACCAGCACAGTTAGATAGCTGTAAACAATCTCTTTTCAACGGTACCTCATTTAGGCTTGTATGTCATTTCTAAGCTGAGATATGTAGGTTTTTGTGGAGATGAGCTGTAAAAAACAGCTGTTGAAAACTTGCGTCTGAGAAACAAGAAGTTTTCTCTGCGCAACCAAACTGCGCACTTTCGTTTTTGCTTTGTTTCCATTGGACAAGATGGCATACAATTTTTCTCAGACACAGCCACATAATAGCGATTGCCTGAAAAATGTCACTGTAAATCTGTAAATAGCCACTGAAAAGAAAGAAATTTTATACACAAATGTAAAATTGGACGGAGAATTCAATTATAACTAGCATTACCATGTCTAGTAACAGTTAATGCCCAAAGCCAACCTTGAATACTTATTGCTATTTCAATCAAACTGATGTAACAGAAAAACAGAGGACGTCCGGCTGTCGTAGAGACATGCGCTGTTAATCGGGTTCGTTCCCAACGTTTTCAGCTATTTATAGTTAGTGAAAATCACACCAATCGCAAAATTTCATGAGAGATTAGGACCCATCCCGAAACCCCAGCCGACATTTCCCTAACAAGTTTCGAATGGTTTCCATGGTAACGTAAATTGCCAAAAGGATCGCAAATTGCTGAAACTGTAGTCGCTACTCACTCAGTATTCAATCAATATTTATTGTATTGGTTATTGGAAATTTTTTTGAGTCACCCCCCATTTTATTATAATAATAATAATTCATGATAAAGTTAATTAGTATTGTTGAGTGACTAATGAAAACGTTCCGACTGTTCTACTTTAAAGTTAGACCAATCAAACAGTAGATTGCACAATTTATTATTTATTGCCTGCATTCTGCATGAAATTGGTAACTCATCAGGTGCATGCTACAGTAACAATCGATTACAATGAAGCAACATTGGTGGAGGGAAACATTAACCGATTTGGCGGGATAATTTTTGTCACTGCTGTTATTTTTATTGGTAATAACCCAGGACTATCTCTGCCACCTCCTGAATGCGTGAAGTTGTCCCCTCCAGTCCTCCAATTTTCCCCCGTGTCCGGTGACTGTCCCTAATGTCAGGTATTTTCATTAACAATGAATCCTTCAAACTGAAACGTTGTCAGACACAAAATCAGCTGCATTGAAAAACTGTTTCACAAGGGTAAATGCAGGGTAAAGAGCGTGTCCTCTTGTCTTCATAATTCTGGACTAAACAAATTTATAGCGGTTGCGTCCACAAATCTAGATAATGATTGCATCCACAAATCTAGATAATAATTGATAATCAATAATCTACAGCCACTACAGCTGATTGAGGTGTAAATAGTGCAAAATGCATCGTTCTTGTTTACAAAATACTCAAGTTTCAGTGGATTTAATGTCGTTGATTTGTTCTTGGTGTTTTGCATTGCTTTTTACCTCCCATAGTGGAATATGTTCATCGACCTGTTTCTCCAGTCTGTCAGTTCTGCCCACATATGCATCATTACTAGTGGCATTTAAATTGGTAAACACAATTAGATTAGGCATGTGTCGATACTGGTTCTTTCGGTGGTGCATAGGAATTATGCTAGTTTAAAATCTGATAACACGCAAGAAGTTAAGAGACATGGCATAGAAAGTTTGACTGATTGCTGTTTTGAGCCGGTCATATAAAAGGTGCATATTGTCATCTGCCTGAAAGATAAGATGGGCATACATTTTATTTTTTGGCACGAACATTTCTATGGTAATTGGCTTGGGTGGTTGGCAGTGGCGCTTAATAGCAGTAATAACCCTACAAAGGTAGAAGAGGATGTTTTCTTTTAGAAATATGTATCTCTCTCTCTCACTTTTTTCAGGGCAGGGGCTTAGTGGCAGCTCACAGCTTTAAAGGAAGGAGATGTCTTGTTTGAAGAGAAGCCTTTAGTTTCTGCTCAGTTTTCATGGAATGAGCTCTACAAATACCTAGCCTGTGAATTCTGTCTCAAGTCTCTGGAAAGTGCTGAAGAAATGGTCCGCCGACTTGCTAATAACCCAGGACTATCTCTGCCACATCCTGAATGCTGTGACGTTGACCCCTCAACCTTCGCACAGTGCTCCCAATGTCAGGTATTGTCATTAACAACATATTTACAGAATACTTTACAGTTACAATCTTTTGGCTTGGAAAAAAGCTTTACTCATTCATACAACTATACCTAGTTAAGATTTTCCTGTGGAAATAGTAGCAGTATGTTTCATAAAAATGACTTAGAAACACAGTGAAGTTGATCATAGTTAGTTTCAATCGAACAAAAGCAGTATATAATGACTTTTCAAATTCTGTGTTACAAGACTGTTTTAGTGCTAGTTTTAGTCAATGGTCAAATTTCAATCATGATATATAACCAGTCGTTCCCTTAGACACTGAGCAGAATAGTTTAGTTTACAGACACATGTTTATGCATGTACATTTCAGATCATCACCAGGCGTAGAGGGGAAAAACAGATTTGTTTAAAAAAACAGAGGGATGATTTTTGTTGCCGCTGTTATTTTTATTGAATGTTAACTGTATTTGAAATACTAAATACATTAACAGGTACCACCATCAGAAATAGAATTCAGTGGACCCTTGGTAATATGGACTTTGGAATAAATAATAAGAATATTTTGTTGTTAGAATATCCTTGCACCTCATCCTCAAGAGCCTGAAGAAATCAAGAGAAACATAGAGAAGATAATTGAAGATGGATAGAGGTTAATAAGATGATGATGAATGAGATGACAGAGTGGTTGAGGGTAAGTTTTCTTTAGAGGGATACAGGACAGAAGAATCAGAATGAATGAAGATTTCTAAACTTCACAGCTACTGCAGGTCAACTTTGAGATTCTTCTATTAAAAGATTTTGAGTTTGCTTAACATTTTCAGCATCATATGTTTGAATGATACATTTTTCTTCACTACCATGTACAAGTAGTTTTCTTTTTTTCATTTAGTACCGATCACCTCAAAAATGAAATAAGTCTTTTTTTTTTTTTTTTTAAATTTGAAAACTTCATCTGTTGAATGTTTAAAGCACTACCTGTTAAACGGTTTAATTAGTTCCACACTGTATCATTTTACTGTGTTTAGCATCATTTTATTCAGCATTGTTAAGTTTGCCTGTATTGCTGTGAGCAGAACATTAACTCTTTTAGGCCCATGAATTTTGACAGATTTGGCCCACAATTTTCCCTTACAAAAATGGCAAATGGGGTGGTGTACAAGAAAGGCAATAGAGAATGTAATATACTTCCAATCCCTATAAAAGTAATCATTTTTTAAAAAGAGAAATCAATGTACATTTTGAATCTGATGATAAGTATGTGTTTAATTTTTTTTTTTAATAGTTAGTAGGAAAAAAGAGAATTCAGCAGGTGTTAATTTCACAACAATATTTTGCAAATTCTCCACTTACCATGGTTTTGCAGCCACAAGAGTAGTGAATATTGAAATTGAGAATAAAACTTCAAAGTTTGTTCAATTTCCTAACAAATTCTAAAGTTATGATGAGTTTCTGGGTTAGTTTAGCTCTCATGGGCTCTTAGTTCTTACAGAGTGCTGAGAAAAATTTCAGAGAAAAATGGGCCATTACACACACACACTATTTACTTTGTACAGTTATATACAGACTGTAGCTGAAATGATTTCAATGTAGCTTAGCCATAGTATATTACTGTCTCTTTGTTTGGAGCACTTTCCTTCTCTTACACCATAAAAATGGTAGCAATGGGACATTGTCTGTGTATATTCATCAGAATTGCTAGATTCCCAACAGCTAATCGCTCAGCTTTGCTGGTAAAATTCACCGTCTGAATCACTTTCCGACAAATCTAAATTTTCATTATCATTATCAGAATTAAAAACATCTGACTGAAACAAACAATGTCAAAGCTTCTGCCGCAGAAAGACGCATTCTGCTACCTATACTTGTGGTTGGAACATTGGTATTCATGGCACTCGAAAGTGAACTTAGAAAGAAAATGCACTTTTGAACAAAATTTTGGTCAAATTATGTACGTGTAGCTTCTAATAGGAAATGTAGCTAAAAGGATTTCGGCAGAGTGACTTTCCCTGAATAGTTTAATCATACTTTCAAACATTAGAAACAAGTAAAGACCCATGTGTGAAGCAAAATGTACGGGACACACGATGACAGCGTTGTTTGGGCAAAACGGAACTTCTCAATCAATGCTCACACCGTTGCTCGGGCCTTAAAGAGTTAAACATTTCCCGTTGTCAGACATATCACATTTTCTTGCAGGTTCTCTACTGTAGTCCTGTATGTCGGGATTTGGCTGCTGAGCAGTATCACCAGGTCTTGTGTAAAGGTTCGTCAAAAGATGACCCAGAGCATCCACTGAATCGTCTTGTCAATGAATGGAGGTAGGAATGTACTTTATTTCTTCTTCTTTTTCTTCTGTGGTCCTGTTCTGCATTTCAGCATCATGTTTTGATAAGGCATCGGGTGCATGCCTTGATATGTCATCTGCTGTATAGATGCCTGATGTTTACATCCTCAGATATTTCATTTGTTCATCTGGGGAGCTGAGTGACCTTGAGGCATGGCGTCCGCCTCGAGTGCTGCAGGTCCCGGGTTTAGGCCCCGGTGAAGGCTGTGATTTTTTCCACATGGATTGCTAGTAATTTTCCATGGTCTCTGGGTAGTAAGTTCAGACATCCGTGTGAATTGTTGCGCACATAAAAAGTCCCTTGGCCATTGGAAATAGAAAAGAGTAGCCTAACGGCGCTGCCCGGGCAAAATTTTGAGTTTAAAATGTACCTAAAGTATTTCAGGATCCTCACCGGTGCTACAGAGTTTGTGCACTGGGCTGAGATTTCTCAGACTTGAGTTAGAAGTAGAATGGAGCAGCACTTATGGGTTACTGCCCTTGTGCCATGATGTTGATTCTTGCATAAACCATCTGTTCATCTGTTGCATGATCGAGCTCTGCTTCCACGTAGATGCCTCGTGCTTACGTCCTTGGATCTTCCATCTACCCAGTGTTTCCATGGTCTACCTCTAGTTCTTATTCTGTCTGATAGGGCTCTCTGTAGTTTATGCTTTATTTGACACAGATAATGTATCTCTGTGTGTGTCAGGTTGAAACCCATTGACAGAGGAATACCTCAGACTTGTAGAGGAAACGTCATCAACTTAGACCTTACTTCAGTCAGTCCATCTGCTGATTCATGACCTTGTAAGTCACATCCTTGTATGACTCTCTGCCAGTGGTGATGTTCTGACACCAGTATTGTGAACCCTGCTAGCTTCTGGGCTTGAATGGAGGAAGTCAAGGAGAGCTACACACTAGACATTAGTCTAGTCAAAAGTGTACTTTTAAATAGGTCAGGAGTAAAGTCTTACCAACCTCACTTGGATAAATGCAAACCTGTAAAATGGATCAGAGTACCTGCACTGCTGTCTGGTCCTGGATGGCAGACCACTTCCAGATTCAACCTCCAGAGAAGTTATACTTGGGCCACTATTAATGGCTATACCAGCCTAGTATAACATGCAGTCCTGGGCTTTTAAGAATTGTTTGTGATACAAGTCGGCTCTGTGGCTAAGTCGATGTGAATGCTTCATAATGCCGGGTTTCATCCCAGCTGCGGGCCATGCACCTTGCGTTGGTTTCGACAGTGGTATCAAGAAAGCCGACTGTCCAGACAGCAATGGCAAACTACTGGTCGTAAATTTGCCTAGAAAAACCACACAACGGCCATGAGCTGTTGGGGTTGGTTCTGCAGTGTCCTGTAAAGGATAGGCAACTAACTGCTTTGTGATACAAAGGGAACTCCAGTACATTGGCTTTGAGAGTTGAAACTCAGTCCTCCAGAGACTTACAACTGACCAACCAGCTGAAGATTCACTTTGGATGAATTTACTTGTATTTCAGTTTCCTATGAGGGTTTTAGGGGTGAGGTGTAACAGCTTATTAATTAGAAATTGTTGACATGAGGCCAAAAGATGCAAAAGTCACATGCTAGTCGTAAACCACAGCACAGCTTGGCAGCTGCGCTTAAGGTCGAACGCAGAAGTTGTAGTGTTATCAGTTGTCTGTTTTTGTAATATTTCACATTTATGATGTCTGCACTGGCCTGTCTGAAACATTTGTCCTACATAGCACAGTAGCTTGTAGCTGTCCTAACACTTGTGAGCTAGGCTTGTCTAGGAGTATAAAAGTCATCACTTGACACTGGGTTTATTCACATGGTCAGGCTCTCAGCCTTGCAATGCAAAAAAGTCATAAGTTTATTTTCAGACTGATTCATTTGGTTTGTGAGTGCCAGTTTGTTCAGAAATCCTTAGGAGCTGAGAAATCACTGGAGCAGAGGGCCAGCGGTTTTCAAAGAGTCTGACCAACCCTAATAAAACTCAGTGTAGTGAAGCTTCTTCTTTTATTTGTATTTCACCGGCCCACGTGTAAACTCCTGCAACATGTTCTGGTTGTTTCTTCAGTTCTGGACTCTAGTCTTGTTCCAGAACTTAACATTTGCACGCACATCAGTTTTATAGATGAACTTCATTTGTATGCAGATTGCTGGTTCCTCACCTCTCAAGAAGATGCACTCTGACTTCAATGGAAACACTCCTGATTAGTTGACTCCTATGGCATAGTTGTTAGAGAGGCAGTGAGTCTATCCCCCTCCACCCTTTCCCCGAAATGGGGCCATGAAACCCACACTGAGAAATGTACAGTTTTAGTCACCCTATAAAAAAAAATCTGTACACATTTCATCTGTTTGTAGTGTTTCATGTCAAAATTAGTGCTAGCAACATTTTTGTGCTGGCAGAGAATGAATTGCTTTACTGTGTCTGCAGAGCTTTCCACTACCCACCAGAAACTACCAGTGTCATGCTAATAGCAAAGATGATTGCCATGGTTAAACAGGTAATTTTGACACATTTACATATTTTATTATCCTCACATTCAAACATGCTTTGCTGATTGGTCTGGAAGATTTTTGCATATCTTGTGATCTCCAGCAGGAGGAACCACTGTGTGTATTGACTGCTTTCTGTACCATGGCAAGTGTCTGTCAAAGATCTTTCTGTACCATGGCAAGTGTCTGTCAAAGATCTTTCTGTGTCATGGCAAGTGTCTGTCAAAGAACATTTTGTGCCATGGCAAGTGTCTGTCAAAGATCTTTCTGTGCCATGGCAAGTGTCTGTCAAAGATATTTCTGTGCCATGGCAAGTGTCTCTCAAAGATCTTTCTGTGACATGGTGAATCTTCTCTTTTTGTCATCCTCTTTCCACAAATCTCTCCAGTTTTCACATCTTCTAGCTTTTGTCATAATGTATTAAGGATTAATTAATTAATCTTTACAGGAAAAATCTGCTCTTTTAAGTGATCAATAGTTCCAAACTCTGCTGGAAAGTTCTGGTTATTTGTCTGCTTATGAACATGGATTGTATTGAACATGGATCTTCTGCCAGAAGTTGAGCTGCATGCACATCTGTCTTACTGATCTGGTTAATTCTGAATCAATCTAGTCTGTTAAGCAGATGTACTCTGTCTTGAAAGCAAACAGCTCTAACTAGTCTAATTTTCAGCCTCGATAGGGAGGTTTGCGGGTGTTTATACCCCCCTCCCCCACAACCCCCTCCAAACTTTGGCCCTGGAACCCATGCAAGGAAAGGGATAAATAACCACTATAAATAATCAAGAATGCATTACTAGGAAAAGACTCATGCATGTACCCAGTAAAAGCAGAGGACCCTTAGCTTATCCATGCCGTCATTCTCACTAGCCAATCAGCGCTTGGTGGGTGATGTGGTCAGCATCACACCAGCCGCCTTTACTTCCCAGGACTTGAGCTGGGAGGCAGTGTCATTTTTAATCAAATTCCACCCTCACCAGGACCTGATGCCATGATGTTCATATCCACAGGTGAGCATTTAGCTGCTACACCACTTTGGCTCTTGCCCAGTACAGGTCTGTAAAGGTTAACAAAAATACCCCAAGGAAGCTGGAAAAATCTCAGAAAAAAAAAATCAGTGAATTTGACTATGCTCCTGTGACGTATTAAAAAACAACAACCGAATTAGCCATTGTTAGTGCTATGTTTTCGGGTATATTCAGACTAAATATAAAGAGGACAGCATAGGGTTAAGATTCATAGAAAACAGATAATCACACATCTCATGTTGCTAAGGACTGAGATAGTTCAGAGCTGAATTCTTTCAGTCGTATATAGCTGTTGCTTCAGAATTTTCTGTCCTGAGATATTTGCACTTCAGAATAACAATCGAATGAGGCTTGATGAGTTAACATATTACAACCTGGGGGGGGGGGGGCTATAGGAGTGAAAGTAACGGTTGTGATTGAGTGGATTAATGTGACAAAAGTAGTGACATAAATATGATAAACTGTGACATGATTGACGCTCACTTGCACTAATATATAACACTTTTAGTGGCCTTGATAAATTTGTGAAACAGTTATTTAATCCTCGTACGTATATTTTCAACACCCTTTAGGCCAAAGACAAAGACCTGATTGTGTCACAGTTTTCCACATTTGTGAAGAATGCAGCCAGTGAACAAGAACACATTGCTCACAAGTTGCTGGGAGAGCAGTTTCAGGTTGGTCAAACCTTTTTCTTGTTGTAGTGCTTGTTGCTGATTGTTACATCAAAATCACAGATCATTTGGTTTATTTATTCTTTGCTTATATTTTGTAGAGACAGATCTACAGTATAATAATTTTGTCATGCAACTCTCTCTTGTGTTGATGTGGAAGTCAGCCTGTCGAGTTTTCAAGAATACAGTGATGGAAGTCAGTTTATACATTCTTATAGGGTAACAAGCTGAGAAATTTTATATCAGTCTTTGGATTTATGTAACCATGTCTTGAGACATCATGCTAATTGGTGAACAGCTTACCCTCCTGTGGGTCCCTGGACCCCATTGGGGAGGGAGGAAAATCACTGCTCCCCCCAGAGCATGTTGTAAACGCTAATTAGGGTTGTTTCCTTTAAAGTCAGGCTGCATCTGCCTGAAAGGTAAGCAGCTAACAATTATGCCAGATCTGTTAAATGGCTCAAGACTAAAGTTCAGAAGTGGACAAACAACCAGAACTTTCTGCTGCAGTTTACAGCTCGTGAACACAAAGAAGGAGAACAGCTCACAATAGTCAGACTTTGATACAGTATCATGGAAGTAATAGTCAGACTTTGATACAGTATCATGGAAGTAATAGTCAGACTTTGATACAGTATCATGGAAGTAATAGTCAGACTTTGATACAGTATCATGGAAGTAATAGTCAGACTTTGATACAGTATCATGGAAGTAATAGTCAGACTTTGATACAGTATCATGGAAGTAATAGTCAGACTTTGATACAGTATCATGGAAGTAATAGTCAGACTTTGATACAGTATCATGGAAGTAATAGTCAGACTTTGATACAGTATCATGGAAGTAATAGTCAGACTTTGATACAGTATCATGGAAGTAATAGTCAGACTTTGATACAGTATCATGGAAGTAATAGTCAGACTTTGATACAGTATCATGGAAGTAATAGTCAGACTTTGATACAGTATCATGGAAGTAATAGTCAGACTTTGATACAGTATCATGGAAGTAATAGTCAGACTTTGATACAGTATCATGGAAGTAATAGTCAGACTTTGATACAGTATCATGGAAGTAATAGTCAGACTTTGATACAGTATCATGGAAGTAATAGTCAGACTTTGATACAGTATCATGGAAGTAATAGTCAGACTTTGATACAGTATCATGGAAGTAATAGTCAGACTTTGATACAGTATCATGGAAGTTCAGCTTGCTCAGTTGTGTGACCATATATTAGCTGGTAGAATGAGTTAGATTGATTGTGATTGATTTCATCTTGACCAATTTTCAGGTTCAGAGGGAAGTTCTGAGAAGCCTGGTCAGTGATGCTTTGTTTGAGGAATCTGTTCAAGAGGTTTGTAGTGGTTTGTTCATCATATATAATGAACAGGCAAGATATTTATTGTCACTCATAGAAAGATGAAGAACGGTCAATACATTGTTTGTTTGGTTATGACCTCAAGGGCTTCCCCATCTGTTTATTTCAGTTGTTTGTTTAGCACATATAAATAGTTGATTATGTGGGGTGTCAGATTGGCTAGTAGCTATAGAAGTTAAGGGTCTCCATGGCAAAGTGATTGCCTAATGCCTGCGTCATTTAACCCTCTACGATAGTCTTGTCTGAGACCTTTGTGTTCACCTCTGGGAAAATATAATTTGTGTGCTGTGTGACCTTTCCGTGAACTCCCAGAAACTATTCTGTGGTGGAAGAGAGAGATAGAGAGGAAGAACAAATGAACAACATTTATTTTCACAGGGTAAAGAATTTAGCAAATTGACCTGTCAAAGATTCTACCCTTCTGGCCTCACTTTTGCTGTGATACTTAATTACGTTCACAGATCTTGTAATAGACAATAATAAATGTTGATAACAAATGCAGGAGTGTGCTCATAGCATACCTACATTTAAACAGTCATCTGTGAGAATCGTAAGATAAATTGATGCAGATGAGTAAACCCCAAGGCAATGAATTGAGTCCTTGACACTCAGGACACACCCAAAAACACCCTCTCTCCCTCCGTAGATATTGAAATTATTTCTCTGCCCCTGTAATTGTCTGGGTGGAATCATTGTTAATGTCCCTAGGCCAACATACTGGCTGACTTTACTTCCTAGAATATTCCCTAGTTCCCATTTTAGGCCAGGTTGATGTGGGTGTATAGGTTGATTTTAAGATTCTCTGACCAAATGTGATTCCAACAGTTGACCACCTACAGGCCGGTCTGACTGCCAGCTATTGTGATGCCATAGCTCCCAGTGTTTAACTGTGATGTGTGTACAACAGTCATCTCATTTGCTTGTGTCTTCTACATTACAGTGGTTCACGCCTGAAGGTTTCAGTCTACTCTTTGCTCTGGTGGGCACAAACGGTCAGGGTATTGGTTGAATTTAAAAAAAAAAATTTATGTCCTCAGTAAATACAGCACACCAACCACGTATCGCAATCGAAAATGAAGAAATAGAAGGTGTAACAGATTTTGAATACTTGGGCTCTTTAGTGAACAACAGTGGCGACTGCTCAAAAGAAGTCAGAAGAAGACTTGCATTGGCAATGCAGAGATTAAATAACATGAAGAACCTATGGCAAAACACTAGTAAATTGGTTAAAGTAAAAATCTTGAGATCGTGCATTTTTCCTGTGGCAACCTACGGTTGTGAGTCTTGGACTCTCACTCAGTCACTGAGGAAAAAGATTAGAGCTTTTGAATTGAAATGCTATAGAAAAATCCTTAGAATACCATGGATCAGGAAGAGTAAAAACATTCTGAACGAGTTGAACATCAAGGAGAAATGGCTCATAAACAGCATCCTGTCTCAAAAGTTAAGGTATTTTGGCCACATCAAGCGTCATGGTGGCTTGGAAAAGACAGTAATGGAAGGTGCTGTTTGTGGAGAGCGAGGCAGGGGTCGACCACAGCAAAGATGGATACAATTCATTGAAGATGCATTGGCATTGAAAGCACATGGGGCTGGAGAGCTGGCTAGAGAAAGGGATACTTTCAGCGTGCCGTGAAGAGAGCGATGTTCTGTAAAGGACTTGCTGATTGATGATGATGCTAATTGTATGCTTTAAATCAGTATGAGTTTTTTTCCCCCATATACTGCAAGCAAGTAAGGCAAAATAAAAACTAAATGTTTGTTTACATGATAATTATTTTCCCACAAGGACATGATTATTAACAGGTTGCATGTCAAATGTCAACAGTTTACTAAAAATGGTTACTGGGTTACATATTTTTAAAGTTGGGGGTGATTTTTGGAACAGACTATAGGAATGTCACAAGAGCAGTGATTTGATTCTTGGACCTGTTTACCTAAGTTGGTGACATTGCAAATGTGGTACACTGTCACCCTTCTTAAAGAATGTGCTGGAGGAGAAACTTACAAAAGAAAGCCAGTGATATCGATGGATGGGCAGTATCAAGAAATGGAAATATGCAGGACTGGTGTTTTCGGAGACTCATCACAGCAATATTTTGATGCTAACTGACTGACTGACTTTCTACCCCACCAGGACATCACACAAGCGATAAACACCCGATGACACAAAGTGCCACCATGCGGATGAGGATCGCCGTGGAGAGGTCCCAGAAACCGCATTCAGACACCTGGCCATATGTAAGGCCTGCCTATATTGCGGCCCCTGGCAAAAGCCAGAGTAGGGCTTCGAATGACAAAAAATTTCGTCCTAAAAAGGACGAATGCTAAAATGGTAAATAAGGATGATGATGCTGACACCTTTATGACTTCCAGACACTCTATGTTGTTTTACAGGTTTAATTGCATGTAATGAAACTTACTAATATTGTGTTAGAATTAAGTTAAATGTTATCACTTGTCTAGAAAAGGAGTATAATTTGCTAATATATGTGTTGAGTTACAGATTCTATCCTCTGATTTCTTTTTTTCTTTTGTCATTGTTGCACACAAAAATGGTGACGACATGTCCCTACGGCAGATGAAATAGGGGATCAAATTTGACACTAGCATAAGTGAATATTATTGAGGACAGAATACATGTTAAGCCTTTTTTGTTTTACCTTAGTGGCTAGTGCACTGTTTTAGTAATTCTAGCAGGTGAGGCCTCTGATATAAAATAGCAAAGCAATAGTTCTGTATGTTTATTGCACTGTGTTAGCGTTTGAAAGAGTTGAACTTCTAGTAGTTGTTGAATTCTTAATCAAGTGTATGCTTTTGGCGTTAACCTTATAAAAGGAGGTGTCAGATAACTAGAGAAAAGTAATAATGAATTGCATGTTCTGAGCATTCTGTCTTCTTCTCCTCCACATTCCTCTCCTTCTTAATTTTGTCCTGTAATCTATATCTGGAGCATTAGCACCCAGATCTCTGCAACACACTCCCTGGAAATATGTGACTTAGATTGTAAGGACAGTTGCTGCACTGACCTTACCCTGATAGATGCAATATTTTTTTTTTATTGCTCAGATGACCTGAATGTCAAGGCAGCAGACTTTAACCTGTTGCCCCACAAACATCTTAGTTCCTTATTCTTCATTCATTCATTGAAACTTCTTATAACGTGACTTTTATTCAATTTTTGTTAAAAGGCCATCCTTATAATTTTCTGAAATTCTGCCCTAAGATAAAGAAATTAGAAGATGTTTAGAAAATAGCAGACATTTTGAGACTTGGTCCAGCAGGTCAAATTCACAGACCACTGCTTCTCTGATGATGTTCCACCATATTAACCAAATTTGTAAACATATTTGAGTCAGTAAATTTTTAAATCAGGAGAAGGTTTTTTTTCTGCATGAGTGTAAAAAAGTAAAGGACCTTTTCCACGCCTTAAGGCATATAGGGCTAGACCTATATTTTTATAGACCATTCGGCACAAGATGGGTGATGTGGTCAGTATCATGCCGGCCGCCTTTACTTTCCCGGGACTGCCAAGGTCATTTTTGAAAAAAGTCTGGCTCCGTTTTTTCTGCATGAAGTGAACTAAAATGGCTTTCTCAGGGTGAGAAAGTTAACTGTTAGAACCAAAGTTTTCCAGGCACCTGCGTACCAGTTACCAGCTTTCTTGTTCTGTCATCACATATGCAGTAATCTATGCTGATTATTTTCATAGCCTATCCTGCATACAATGATATTTCACATTTATGTAACTCACAGGAGGCTAATGCTAGAGATGAATATGACGCACCATGTCAACATAGTAACTTAGAATGTTTTTTAAAAATAAATGTTAATTTTGAAATATTGTTTCAGCATTCTTTTCATTCATTCATTTTCTTGCAATTTTTAATTCATTCTTGTCTGTTTCGCTTACAGTTCATTCAGTAAATGGGTGAAAAATACAGAGAATCTTCAGTTAAATGAGGCAGAAAAGAAAGAATTAGATGAGTTAATAGAGAAGATCTACAATGAGATTGATGAAGGTATGTCTCCTGGAACTCATGTTTGTCCTTTGTTGTCTGAAAGTAATCTTTTTTAACTGAAGAAGGCTTGCCGGCATCAGGATGTACACTTATACCTAATAAAAGTGTAATTGTTCATCTTTTTAGAGACATCAGATAGTGCAAGAATGAATTGAAACACTAAGCACTTCACGAATAACTGCCCTAACCTTTATCTTTGTGCCAGGTCATGCAGGTGTTCAAGGGAACGAGCATGCAGATTTTCTTGCTGACACTGCAGGCTGGCCCAGTACTGGACAGAAGTAATGTTATCAATGCCATGCACTTACCGAGGAGTACGCCAAAGCACATGACTCCATATCCCTGTCTAGACTGATGGACATGGGGTTGCAGCCTGGAGCTGCAAGAAATGAACATTTCACTAAGGGGACAAGACGTTTTATTTACCAACACAGAACAGGCGTCATCAGTCATTTTACACTTGTGGAGCTTTTGAGGAGGAGATCGGAGCATCTATGGATCTGTCCGGAGTGCTGTGATGATAATCCTTTCTAATCACTAATCACATCAGATAGTACACATTAATGTCTTGTCTTCATTAACAGTTGAACATAGCAAAGACACTTACTGATGTTTGATGAAGTGATGCCATCTCAGCTGACCTGTTGTGGTCATCTAATCTCATACTTGCAGAAGTTGTTTAAAAAAAGAACACATTTTATAGGCAGTTTTGGTAGTCATTGATCTGTCAACAGCCTGTTGTTTGAGATGGATAATTACTTTGTATTGTTGCATTTTTACACTGTTTGTTACTTGGTGAGCAATCTTTGTTCAGTTATCATCCCTTTTTTGTTTGAGAGATTTTCATATCGCGGTAACCTCAACAGCTGGAGTCACACAATTATTCAGTGTCTTGTGGATAAAATAAGTTGATGAGTAGAGACTAGACGAATGGAGATACAAACATCTGCTGCTTTATGAATAGACCTTGGATGGTTTATACCAGGGACAAAGCCTAGGGAAGACACAGCCAAAATAAAATGGGTCTCAAAATTAGGTTATTTTGTTGCACCATGGTGAAGCAGCTTACAGTATGTATGTCGGCACCTGGTGTTTTGATAAGCTCTAGGGAGGCGAGCATACCACAGCCGATGGAGAAGACTGTTAGCAAAACCTACTGACAATAAGATAAACATGCCAGAATTAGGATTTCTTTCAGGCCACTATTTCTAAAACATGTTTTCAACTTGCTTCTTCTCATATGCTCTCAACATGTCTGAGGTCATTTTCTTCTTTATCATTGTTCTTTTCCTGATATTCCTCCTCCCGGCAGAACAAACAGTCCATGGATTCCGGTTCTTATCTATCTGCCTCAGTACATGTACCATTTATGTCCCACTTGCATACATTGTTATATCGTAACAAGCCCAGCTCTCTAGCGTAGTTGGCTAAACCGGATTGCACAATGAGCGGGTGACGAACTCCTTGTGGTCCGAGTTCACTCCCGGGGGTAGGCAGAAAAGCCGCATTTTCTCCCAGATTAACGGTATTTACAATGGAATCAAGGCCGAAAGGTTGCGATATGCAAAATACCGAGCCTAAGGTATCAACTCATGGCTTCTGGATACTAAAAAAAAAAATAGCGTAACAAAGGCATAAAACAATTCACATTATAATTGTATCCTGACTTTATTTTGTATATTGTACACAATAATGTGAGAGCCGCCATGGTCTAGCCACTAGATGCTTTGCCTGCGGATTGGAAGGTGTTGGGTTCAGGTCATGGGGATGCCGGACTTTAAAAAAGAAAATGATCTTGGTACCCAGTTTGACCCAGCCTGGTAGGTGGGTACCAGGTGGACCCAGCCTGGTAGGTGGGTACCAGGTGGACCCAATTGGTAGGTGGGTACCAGGTGGACCCAGCCTGGTACGTGGGTACCAGGTCGACCCAGCCTGGTAGGTGGGTACCAGGTGGACCCAGCCTGGTAGGTGGGTACCAGGTGGACCCAGCCTGGTAGGTGGGTACCAGGTGGACCCAGCCAGGTAGGTGGGTACAAGGTGGACCCAGCCTGGTAGGTGGGTACCACCTGGACCCAGCCTGGTTGGTGGGTACCAGGTGGACCCAGCCAGGTAGGTGGGTACAAGGTGGACCCAGCCTGGTAGGTGGGTACCACCTGGACCCAGCCTGGTTGGTGGGTACCAGGTGGACCCAGCCTGGTAGGTGGGTACCAGGTGGACCCAGCCTGGTAGGTGGGTACCAGGTGGACCCAGCCTGGTAGGTGGGTACCAGGTGGACCCAGCCTGGTAGGTGGGTACCAGGTGGACCCAGCCAGGTAGGTGGGTACAAGGTGGACCCAGCCTGGTAGGTGGGTACCACCTGGACCCAGCCTGGTTGGTGGGTACCAGGTGGACCCAGCCTGGTAGGTGGGTACCAGGTGGACCCAGCCTGGTAGGTGGGTACCAGGTGGACCCAGCCTGGTAGGTGGGTACCAGGTCGACCCAGCCTGGTAGGTGGGTACCAGGTCGACCCAGCCTGGTAGGTGGGTACCAGGTGGAGTCCTGGGAAATAAAGGCGGCCGGCATGATGCTGACCACATCACCAACTAAGTGTCGATTGGTTTATAAAATATAGACTATCTGTATATGCCCAGTGTGCCTCGAGGCAGGGAAAAGAGTCCTGTATTTTGCACAATATTGTAAATTACATACAAGGGAGAAGTTAATTTAAATACGGTATCGTAACACCCTGGACAAACTTACATATGCTGTGTTCCTTAGCGCTGGTCACAAGGTGTTCATAGAATAGAAAATTAGTACTGTAGCATAGGATTGTAAACTTTTTGCTTTTGTTCTCTGTATATGTCTCTTGCTGTGCCAATCTTAAATCCAGATTAGTGTATGTAGTTTAGTAATTATATCTTGTTTAACTGTATCTTGTTTCATCTACATAGTTACATTAAACAATAATGAGTTTTTGAATATAGATGTACAGTAGTGGCCACATTTAAGACCACCTAGTAAATAGTTGACAATTTTACATTATGAAGTACTGCAACAACTGCCATATCAGGGTTGGGTTGAGTTGATACCAGGACCCGCTTCACAGTCCCTTGGGCCATTCCCATAAGCACTCCTTCCCCATCTTCAGCAATCAGCATAGAGTTCCAGTACCAATTGGGCTAGTAGCATTCTGACTATACGTCTGTCTTGCCTTTCCTCTGAACATTGAGTATCAGCCAGATCCCCTCTTGACTCCCTGCTGCATCACTCTCAACATACTGTGATGATCCATTTGCTCCTCCGAATAGTACATGTTCTCCTATAAAGCCTTGACCACGTCTGCCTTATCACGCTTCAGTATTCCACCAAGTTGTGTGATGCCAGCCAGCCTATCTACCTGTTCATTTCCTATGTTAGAGCAGAAGGATATCTATAGTAATTGCCTTTAATGGTTCTTAGAATAGCACATTTTGCAATACTCTGTAACGGAATGAAAAAAAATGTAATTGACCAGATGGTCTTTAATGATTTTCCACCACTGTGAGTATATAAACTACTTTTTGTTATTATTGCCTGGCCTTTCTCTTATGTAGTTTCATGACCTCTTTCCCTGGCAGTGTCTGGTGAGTTTCTGGACTGTGAAGGCTCCGGGCTGTATCAGCTTCAGAGTGCATGTAAGTAAGTAGCCATACACAGTCACTCTTTTCTGTCAACTCAGTCTTATAATAGTATATATATATGGCTGTGTGTGCGTATATTTGCATTGCACTAGAACAGAAAATAACCACATGTGAAATGATCTGTCTCCACAAGGTCACTAACAACACAAGAAGGGACAGAGTTTCGAAAACCAGCTGGAATAAGACCATGTCTGGATTATATTAACAAAGATTGAAATGGTTTGGCCATTAAATGAGAATGCAGCCATGCCAAACTGCATATGAGACATTTTACAGCAGAACATCTGGAAGGAAGACGAGAGAAAAACAAAACAAGAGATGGATACATGGTGTAGCTGAAACCTGCAAAAATATAAACAAATCCATCACCCAAGCCATCCACAAAGAGCAAGACAAATACAGAAAACCACGACATTTGGCTATTACCCTGTGTCAGTGAGACAACAACAAAAAAAGAAGAAAGAAGATTGTGTGTGTGTGTATATAATGGGAGGAAAGCTGAAGGTGTGGGAGTCTTCTGTCTAAATGATCGTGAAAGTACAAAATATGATTAATGGTATGTTGTATTTTGAGAAATAAGAACAGAAATTATTTTTTGGGGTATCTGTGCATTTGAACTCTAAATAAAGATAGAGGGCTGTGTTTGTCTATACTGACTTTTAAGTGTACATGTTGAGTTTTGATCACTGCTTCATTGGCTATTACTTTTAAAAACATTACAGTAGTTTTGTATATTGAGATGCACAAGGCTGAACTGATTAGTAGACAGCAATCTACTTTCTCCATGTAAACTGCAGAGGGAGAAAATCCTGGCACAGGCTGCTGGTGATAAGGGCTGTGTTAGTGATATTTAGAGTGGTTTTTTTTAATGTGTCTTGTCTTCCTTATTATTATGTATTGGGATAAACTGTATGCTGGCAACTCTTTTGGAGCGAGTGAAAGATGTAGAAGCCTAAATAGATCACTACATCATGGAGAGAATGATGCAGCAGGGAGTGACCAGGAGATCTGGCTAGTACCCTACACCGTGGAGAGAATGATGCAGCAGGGAGTGACTAGGAGATCTGGCTAGTACTCTACACCATGGAGAGAATGATGCAGCAGGGAGTGACCAGGGGATCTGGCTGGGACTCTACACCATGGAGAGAATGATGCAGCAGGGAGTGACCAGGGGATCTGGCTGGGACTCTACACCATGGAGAGAATGATGCAGCAGGGAGTGACCAGGGGATCTGGCTGGGACTCTACACCATGGAGAGAATGATACAGCAGGGAGTGACCAGGAGATCTGGCTGGGACTCTACACCATGGAGAGAATGATACAGCAGGGAGTGACCAGGAGATCTGGCTGGGACTCTACACCATAGAGAGAATGATGCAGCAGGGAGTGACCAGGAGATCTGACTGAGACTCTACACCATAGAGAGAATGATACAGCAGGGAGTGACCAGGAGATCTGGCTGAGACTCTACACCATAGAGAGAATGATACAGCAGAGAGTGACCAGGAGATCTGGCTGAGACTCTACACCATAGAGAGAATGATACAGCAGGGAGTGACCAGGAGATCTGGCTGGGACTCTACACCATGGAGAGAATGATACAGCAGGGAGTGACCAGGAGATCTGGCTGGGACACTACACCATAGAGAGAATGATACAGCAGGGAGTGACCAGGAGATCTGGCTGGGACTCTACACCATGGAGAGAATGATACAGCAGGGAGTGACCAGGAGATCTGGCTGAGACTCTACACCATAGAGAGAATGATACAGCAGGGAGTGACCAGGAGATCTGGCTGAGACTCTACACCATGGAGAGAATGATACAGCAGGGAGTGACCAGGAGATCTGGCTGGGACACTACACCATGGAGAGAATGATACAGCAGAGAGTCACCAGGAGATCTGGCTGGGACTCTACACCATAGAGAGAATGATACAGCAGGGAGTGACCTGGAGATCTGGCTGGGACTCTACACCATAGAGAGAATGATACAGCAGGGAGTGACCAGGAGATCTGGCTGGGACTCTACACCATGGAGAGAATGATACAGCAGGGAGTGACCAGGAGATCTGGCTGGGACTCTACACCATGGAGAGAATGATACAGCAGGGAGTGACCAGGAGATCTGGCTGGGACACTACACCATAGAGAGAATGATACAGCAGGGAGTGACCAGGAGATCTGGCTGGGACTCTACACCATGGAGAGAATGATACAGCAGGGAGTGACCAGGAGATCTGGCTGGGACACTACACCATGGAGAGAATGATACAGCAGGGAGTGACCAGGAGATCTGGCTGGGACTCTACACCATGGAGAGAATGATACAGCAGGGAGTGACCAGGAGATCTGGCTGGGACACTACACCATGGAGAGAATGATACAGCAGGGAGTGACCAGGAGATCTGGCTGGGACACTACACCATGGAGAGAATGATACAGCAGGGAGTGACCAGGAGATCTGGCTGGGACTCTACACCATGGAGAGAATGATACAGCAGGAAGTGACCAGGAGATCTGGCTGGGACACTACACCATGGAGAGAATGATACAGCAGGGAGTGACCAGGAGATCTGGCTGGGACACTACACCATGGAGAGAATGATACAGCAGGGAGTGACCAGGAGATCTGGCTGAGACTCTACACCATGGAGAGAATGATACAGCAGGGAGTGACCAGGAGATCTGGCTGGGAAACTACACCATGGAGAGAATGATACAGCAGGGAGTGACCAGGAGATCTGGCTGGGACTCTACACCAGGGAGAGAATGATACAGCAGGGAGTGACCAGGAGATCTGGCTGGGACTCTACACCAGGGAGAGAATGATACAGCAGGGAGTGACCAGGAGATCTGGCTGGGACTCTACACCATGGAGAGAATGATACAGCAGGGAGTGACCAGGAGATCTGGCTGGGACACTACACCATGGAGAGAATGATACAGCAGGGAGTGACCAGGAGATCTGGCTGGGACTCTACACCATGGAGAGAATGATACAGCAGGGAGTGACCAGGAGATCTGGCTGGGACACTACACCATGGAGAGAATGACACAGCAGGGAGTGACCAGGAGATCTGGCTGGGACTCTACACCATGGAGAGAATGATACAGCAGGGAGTGACCAGGAGATCTGGCTGGGACACTACACCATGGAGAGAATGATACAGCAGGGAGTGACCAGGAGATCTGGCTGGGACACTACACCATGGAGAGAATGATACAGCAGGGAGTGACCAGGAGATCTGGCTGGGACTCTACACCATGGAGAGAATGATACAGCAGGAAGTGACCAGGAGATCTGGCTGGGACACTACACCATGGAGAGAATGATACAGCAGGGAGTGACCAGGAGATCTGGCTGGGACACTACACCATGGAGAGAATGATACAGCAGGGAGTGACCAGGAGATCTGGCTGAGACTCTACACCATGGAGAGAATGATACAGCAGGGAGTGACCAGGAGATCTGGCTGGGACACTACACCATGGAGAGAATGATACAGCAGGGAGTGACCAGGAGATCTGGCTGGGACTCTACACCAGGGAGAGAATGATACAGCAGGGAGTGACCAGGAGATCTGGCTGGGACTCTACACCAGGGAGAGAATGATACAGCAGGGAGTGACCAGGAGATCTGGCTGGGACTCTACACCCAGAGAGAGGAAGAGCAAGATACATATAATCTAACTGCTACCATCAGTGTTGAAACTTTTCCTTGGCTGCTGAAGTTTAGGATGCAGTGCTCAAGGAATGTCCAGGCTGCTGTAATTTCTGTTAACTCATTAATTGATATTTTTATTGTCACTGCAATATATTAATTGTCAACATATTACTGCGTCTAACAATAGGCAATCACAGTTGTGCTCCGTCTGCTGAGATTGTCTTTCCCCATGGAGACAACACGTTGGCAATGGTTGCTCTCAGAGATATTGCTCCTGAGGAGGTTAGGATTTACGTAGTGTCCTATATAGACTAGAAGCACACCTGTCACCTGTATTAATTTGTGTCTGTTATTTTCAGGGAAAATCCATTTAGAATGACTGCACGTGAATGTGCTGTATAAAGTGTCTGGATGTAAATTGTTCATCTCTTTGCCACCTGATGCTTGTAATGTGGTATCACAGTCTGTTACAGATCCCAGCAAATATGTAAAACCAGCACTTTTGCATTGGTCAGTCCCTGAGGAGCCTGTTTAATGACATTGGTTCTGTTTGCCCCTGCACATTTTTTATGAGGTCCAGATATGATATTTACTTAAAATAGCCTTGGTGGGGGGGGGGGGGGGGCTTTTTAAAAGTCATTAATGACATCATAATTCACCTTTAGGGATCACCTAGTGAAGGGGTCATGATATGAAATAATGTAAACAATTTTGTGTGTGTTGATCCAAGGGAATATGTTAAATTTAATTCTCCACTTATTTCCTGTGCAGTATAAGGGCTGTTTTAGTGATATTTTGAGTTTTTTAATACTTGTCTTCCTTATTAATATGTATTGGGATAAACTGTATGCTATCCTAAACCTAGCATTCCTCGTGGCTCCACCACACGTAGCGTTCAGTCGTCATGACTTTCTCCTCTTTGGTCGTGAAAATCTAACTTTGAGGTCATGTCTGGGTACACATGGGTGACAACATAAACATCCCTACTCGCATAGTCATAGATTGTACTGGCACCTGACAACAGGACAAACCGTTTCTGTTCCATATTGGCTAGTCATCATAGTTTTAGTCGTGCCAGGCCCCAGTTTTATTTAAAAATAGTCTATTAGACTTGATACTGTAGACTAGGACTATTCAACTAGAGGTCTACGGAAGCCTAGCAGGTAGCCCCAGAATTATTGCTAGTGGTATTGGGTATTATATGAATGATCTTTCTTTGCTGAGGCTTCTGGTCCATGACAGTCGCCCATTACAAATTGTTTTGCCTCTGAGTTAATTTATTTAAATATCTCTGCTGTAGACTTTCAAAGTTAAAGAAACAAACCAG